CTCGCCCGAAATCCACGGAATTCTTCCGTTTCGATTTACACTGCGCAGGAGTATTTACTCCGAGACTCCAGACGCTGTCTCACCGAAATAGACTCGCTCGAGCGCCTCAGAAGAGGACCAGGAAAGCCAGCCGCGAGCGGTTTCTGTTCCGTCATCGTCAGCTTCCTTCGCGATTACAACGCTCTTAAACGTTACCGTAACGGAACGGAAAACACGTTCACCCCCGCCGTTTCCCGCGGCAGTCGATGTCACTTTTTAGAATAGCAGCTTCGGGGACGGTATAAATAGCATCTCGGTGCAAATATCGCGGACGTTGGCTCCGTAGCTCGCGAGGAACGGACGCCAGGCGTTGGAACTTTCCAGCGTTCGCTGAATGGAATATTCTGCATGTTCAGGGGCGAAATTTTATGGTGAAATCGAAATTCGGGTGAAAATAGCTGTTGGAATTTATTCGTGAAAGGTGATCACTTCTGGCTTACCTTAAACCAGACCTTCCTCACTCTTCTCTCAAGCTTCGACGGTCTCCTAAAAAAGAGAAAAGAGCGTCGACGCTACAATTGAAAGTCTTCAGACGTCGACGCCCCTCAGGATGAGACTTGGCGCAGTCCGCGCGATAACACCATGGATTTAAGTTATTCTGCGGTCGCGAATATACGACTTCCCGGAGTCTCTGACCGCAGCCTATAACCCCTCGTCCTCCTCGGTGTCGCGACACGGTCGACGCACGGAGGCGTGTTTTTCTTTCCACGGGTGCACGTATCCGGGACATGTGCGTCAGAAATCCTGGTCGCTTCCTAGCCCAGGGCCGTGCATCGACGATTTACCCGAAACGACCACGTGGCTGGGACCCCGCATCCCGTTTACGTTGTTATTACGCGGAATTCTTACCGTCGACGGCTATTGGGTTTCAAAGACGGTGGATTCCCGCGGTTTTTGGGTCGACAGGTTGCTTCTTTATGGTGGTTTTCGTTCTGCGTGGATGGGAGGTGATTGACGAGGAATAAGTGTAGGTTGGATCGGGAGGAAGTGCATGGAACGAGGAGTAAGCGCGACTGAATGCAAAAGCAATCGAAGGCACATGTGGTCATCGTCGCTCTGAAATGTTATTTTTATAGAAATTGTCATGCTTAAAGTGTGAATTAATTGTTTGAATGGATTCGAAGGAAGTTAATTTCAGAATCTAAAAGATGTCGTTAACGCTTCGTTTCTATACAACTGGAACTTATTTTTGTTGTATTTGAACTAGTACTTATTTCTGCAATTTTGAACAAATTCACGAATCCTGTGCGGATTTACTCTACCACCATTCTTCTCGCTACTTTTTCGGCATCTTCTAGTATCCCACCATGGATCGACAGACCTATTATTCTTAACAAAGTCGAAGACCCCCATAATTGTCGCGAGTCAATGTGACCGTCGCGATACACTAATTACGCATGGGTCTCTCGTTCGCAGTAACTGTTGCAAAGATAAAATCGGCCACAGGGGTGCGACACAAAGGAGCCCGTCGTCTTTCCTGGCTGCTCGCGCTTGAAAAGACTTCCTCGGACGTTTGTCTCCGCAGAAAAGCCTGCGACAATCCAGGCACGCCCCTCTTCCTCTTGCTGGTCGTGAGGGCCCACCCTCTTCTTTTCTTTCCCGTCGTACCTAGCTCGTGTGAACATACCACCTCTGTTAAGGGTCTATTCTACTGCAGTTCTTCGAAAAAATCGATTTTTTTTGCACTCCCCTGGAGGATACAACCGGACTCATAACAAGGATGAAGTAATTTCTCTTTGGGGAGGGTCTTCAGGTTTAGAACAGTGCCATCGAGATAAATTATTAGGTTGTTTCATATAATTACTTAATTTTTAACATAAATACAGACGTTTAAATCTTCTCTACAAAATTGGACATTTTATATGCAACAACCAAATAGTATTCCAATTCCTAGGAATCTCAGCTTTTGACGAACCTGTCATCGATGCAATCGTTATTCAATCATTTCTTTATACGTCCAAGTGGAATACTGGATTACCTACTTATTCCGCACGCAATGGAGTCGTGCAATGTTTTCCAAGCAGGCACACGCACCGAAAATTCGTACACGCGCCCCGAGGTTCGCACCCCCTGTTCCCTTTGTGTTCATTCTTTCGCACGAGCGGCCCACTCTCAGTGCCTGGAGACAACCCCTTGCGCGAAGATGTCGACAAGGGTGTCGGCTGGCTCAAGAGTTTCATCCCTTCGCCACTCGAAACCGGGGAAAACCGGTCCGTTTGTGCAGGTCCGGGGAAACACGCGTGTTCGTCGAGGAGGGGGTGCGGACGCTGGAAAATAAATTTTCACAGCTGTTCCGCTTCGCGTCCGCTCGATTTAACGACTAGGAGAAGTCTAGCCTCGTTTAAACTGTCATCCATTAGCTGGAACACATTGCGGCTGACACAGGGTGGCCGAGGGATGGATGTCGAACGCGTCCGATCGGCGGGGGTGCGTAACCAACCGAGCTGACTTGCGGTTAATTCGTGGGGGAGGATTCGATGGTAGCTGACAGGGTGAAATTTCTCGAAATTCGGGACTGATTGAGGAGTTGAGGGACGTGACGAAGTCGTAGGCGAGGGACGGGGATAGTGAGGTTATTAGAATTGTAAAATATGATTGGAAGGGGAAGCATCGATTTCCAAGGCAGTTCAAATATTTTTAAATCGAGTCGGTTCTTTTTTAAATGACTCAATAATAAATCGATTCAATCCTTCCCCTCCGATTAATGGTACTTCCACTGTTAATTTTCAGAAGACACCTCTTCCAAATCAAAAAGAAGATTCTATTACTATAAATTTTGTCCCCCTTTCGAGGCGGACGACGAATTCAAAGGACGTTGCCGGTGTACCGTTAATGGAAATGATTTTTTCCAAAGCGACGACCTGTCGCGACGCGCGGATTTTACGCACCGTTACGTTACATCGTCCGCTGGTAACCCAACGAGAGTCGTTTCTGCGAACGCGTCGGTTTCGCGCGCAAACGAGAGAGCTGAAACGGTTGCCCCCGCGACAGAAGAGAGCGTGCACGATCGTGCAGCTGCGAGCTATAAATATTTAGCGAATTTTAGGACTCGCAACGACGCTCTCGTAACGAGAACTCGGGGACCTTCGACGCTGCCCACGCATTTCATCCGTGGGGTTATAGCCTGCCGTGGAAAAACTAGGCCATTTTTGGAATTTTATTAGGGGGTGGCTGCTGAACGTATCCTGATGAAACTTTGTGGTGTCGTTGGACTGCGTCTTGTTGGGCTGTGTAATTTTTATTATGAGGAAATACGTGATTTGGAAAATGGTACACTCGGCCCACGAATTGTAGGAGGTTCTTTCTCTGTTCTTGATTCTTGAAGATTGATGAAGATCGAGGGTGGTTAATGAAACTTTAGTTTCGCGATAGATCCCGGATTCCATCCGAGCAATTCCAAGCTCGTCTCAACCGAATGCATACCGTTTTGCCATCCGTTTATGACTCGCGACGATGTTACGTCGCAAAGTTACAGCTACCTACGCGTTTAGTATGCATTGTCTTTCGTTGCCGGTCCTGAGATGTAGAAGCTCGGCCAGATGCGAAGTTCCGCGTGTCCCGATGTGAAATATTCACGCTATACCGTTTGCATCCGCGGCTTTTATGTAAATGGCACGTTTGTTAGGTAACTCCGCGAGAATTCGAAGCATTCCAGCAACGACGCCATCTATTCGTCGGTGCGTTCTTTGAGGAGACCTGCTGCTCCGCTGGTTTCGCCTATTCGAGAACTTTCCTGGATATTCGATCGTCGAAACGAGATTTTTGTATCCTTGTCGGGATTTATGGAGTCTCGGCTGACCTCAATTACGTGTCGATTGATCGTAGTGCATGCTAGTCAGAAATGGCGCATCGAAGGAGCTGATCTCGAGTACTGTTTTATTTTAGAACTAGTACTATTTATTAGTAATATTTTATTAGTGAATTATTTTCCTTTACAAAAATCTGACTAAATAAATTAAGTTCGAGCGACCTGAAAAGTCATGTTGGGTTCACCGTGGGTCCCGCTCGCATTTGCAGGGATGACATTTAGCCACGACAAAGAGCAGGAAGTTCAACCGTGGAAAGTGCAACGAGAATCCCAAGGATCGAGCAACCTGTTCCGTGCAGAACGAAGCCACCGCGAGAAAAATGATCTCTTAATATAGTACCCACTGTCTCGCGAAACGAAAACATCGGTCGACCGGTAAAGGTGCAGCAAGTGCAACAAGAAATGTCGAACCAGAGAGGGGGAGGGGAACCGTGTCGATTCGTCGACAAGAAAATGTTCTTTGCATAACAACGAGGAGTCGATGGGAGCACGGTTGTACCGCTACGAATGGCACGGTGACATACTAAAGAGCAAAACGATACCTCGTTCGCATCGTTTTATTGCGACGACCGGAAATGGGCTCTCGCAATCCTCCACAGGGAAACCCAGCCGACTTGTTTCCTCCGATAAGCCGTTTTCAATTCCGTGGAAACCGCTTTTGTGGTCACCGATTATTATTTATATAGTAATTTATATTTACACGTTCCTTGAGAAGGACCTAGCAGTCTCTCTCTCTCTCTCTGAGACCATCGCGTCTCCGTTCTCGTTTTTAACAGATCAATTTCCGCGTGGTCTGTCGCGTTTGTCCCATTGACGTGCCCTCGATACATCCGGGACGATAATCTCCCTCCAAGGACCTCTCCCCACCGTCGAATTAGGGGTGCTTTCTATTTCCGAGTCGCGAAACAGTCAAAGGGACCGCGATGAAGGTAATAAACAGTCGCTTCCCTATAGCCACCGTACGAGCGTCGTGTCTTCATTGATAAATTGTCGTCGCCACCCTTTAAGAAGCATTAAACAATCGACCCCCTTCCGACGATCAACCAATCGACGCGTCCATCTTCGTGACGCCGCGAAATTGGCCTGATCGACGCGCACGGATAGCAACGAAAGGGGCCGTCGTTCTAACCGTAACCGTTTTCTCTGTTTGCAGACATCGCCATGGACTGGTCCGATCATGCACTCTGGTGGCCCGAGAGGAATCATTGGCTGATCAGAACGAGGAGCACCCTGGATCAGTACGGCGTGGCCGCTGACGCGCGTCTTCACTTCACGCCGATGCATAAGACGCTTAGGGTGCAGTTGCCTGACATGCGCTCCCTGGATTGTAAGGTCGACTTCTCTGTTAAGACGTTCAACGCTGTCATCAACCTCTGCAAAGAATTAGGTGAGCCATGAGTTTGTAACTTTTGCGGGAAAAATATTCTCGGTGATTCTTCTTCTACCTTGAGGGACTTTGATTTCCTCGGGTCTGCGTTTTAAGGGACTTTGAAGCGACATTATCAGGGAAATAATTAGGATACTTTTAATTTACTCTTGCTATTAAAGCAGAAATGGCAGAATAAAAATATTCGACAAAATAAAATTGGTCAGTGGCGAAACATACTGCGTGGTAAGATAGCCGATCGCAGAAACCAACATCGCCGTCGAGAGGTGTGCAGAGCCGCAAAAAATTGAGCGGCGTTAAACGTGTCACAAGGTCAACGCTTCAAAAAGCAGAATTCCTTCGCGATATGCCTAACCGGCGCGACACGTGACCGTGGCGGCGTTAATTAGTCTTGGTAACGAAATAAAATTGTAAAATTCTCAGTCACGCGAAGGTCACGGGTCCCTTCGTGGCTGAACTTCACCGCGTCGGCTAACGGGCAGCTCTTTAATCAGGGAAGTGGTTCGCCGCGATAATGAAGCCATTGTATCGCTTCGCCTAGCTCTCTAGTTGCGAAATAGCGCAAAGGAATCTTTTTCTCTACTTTGTGGCAGACTTTGGAACGTAATCCATCGATAGATGAAATTCTATTCTACCTACAGGAGTTAGAAGATTAAGGGAAAGGAACAATAGAATCTACTGGTGATATAACTAGTCTGTAGTAGAAACAATTTTTTCCTACATTTTGCAGACGATTAATTAATAGATTCGAGTCTATCAGTGTACCTACAGGAGTTCGAAGTATGGTTGGAAAGGAACAATAGAAATTACTGTTGTGAACAACTCATCCACGTTGTCGTAACGATTATTAATGTCGCGGTTTCGTACTTTTTGTCCACGTAGTCGCGGACAGACGACCTCGCCGATAGCCTTCCGCGTGTCATACTCGCAAATAGACTCGGTGTCGTAAGTTTCCTGCGATATTGTTTCTATGTAATGGTAGAGGACACGAACGTGCAAATTGCCAACGTCTGAAAGATAACAAAATATTGCGGTTCTACATTGTAGCAAAGAACTTCGACATAAATACGCAAAACATTTCTCAACGTTAAATATTTTCTAAAATAAATAATAGTCCGAAAAAGGTCGTGGACTCTAAAAAAAATCGCTGGGGTCCCTTGATATAACAACGCAATCCACCTCCGTCATCGTCCTTATATCAAGGTCTTGCTGTACTTCCAAACGAAATATCCGATATCAATCGGAATATCCCATTTAAACCCGCCTCGGCACGAAATAAACGCGAATTCCGTTACGAATTGATGTCGAGAAGTCCCCTGTAAATAAGACTCGTCGTTTTTACATCCCTTCAGGTATAAGACACCCAGAGGAGCTGTCGTTCTGCAAGCCGCTCGAACCGAACCACCTGAAATACAATTTGAAAGACCTCCCAGTGAAGAAGAAGATCGAGAACCAGAAAAACGGCCACTGGAACGTGCCCGCGGACACAAACACCTTCATTCCCGTCAGCCAGAGTCCCAGGGGATCGACGGGGAGCCTGGACCAGAGCAGCCCGTTCATGTGCGCGCCAGTCACACCCAACAACAGAAATCACAGCACTCCGATCAGCTCGCCAGTCTCTGTGAGTACGAAACCATGGTTCTCTCTCAGTCTGTGCACAGGACCACATACTTTGGCCGATCGATAGGATCGGAAATACCAGAGTGCCGGACCTGTTATGGTAATAAATAATCCCCGATCGACCTGATTGCCGCCGCTATGATTTATCGTCGTCGACCTATCATTACCGCTCGCGGAGTCGTTCGTCTCGGGAAACTAATTTGCCTCTCGCGAGCGGCTCCGTTTTTCCGGCCTCCGGGACTACATGGTCATTAAGACAGCGGTGGTCAACCGAAAGCCACTGGGCCAACCAGAACATCGTAATAGAATTAGCTATTAGGTTTTACTAGAGAGCAGAGGTTCGTGGAATTCTCTTGTAGTTGAATGTACTTTTAATTTAATTCTGGGGCTCAGGAAAATTTAAGATTAATTTTATATGCAGTTGCTACAAGGCAAGGGTCTCGTTGCACCCTCTTACATTTTGCATCTACTGTGTTGAATCCATTTTCAATTCAATTTCGCAATTCAGGCAAACTTTATTTCAATGCTACAAATCAACGATCCTACCTTCTACATTTACTTAATTTTCAATTCAATCTTCAACCAGACTCTGATTTTAAGAGCACCCCTGCGTCATGCACGCTTATTGGCCAGCTTTGGTCGAGCTGAAGCTCACGTTGTCTGGTTTGCTTTCCCCAGCAAACCGGTACGTGGAAGAGGAACAACAACTCTTCGGGTTTCGGTAGCACCGGCTCGTTCAATGCGAACAACAGCACGATGAGCCTGGAGGCGTTAAACGGAGGACTGTCGGAGTCCCTGGCTCAGAGTCCCAGCTCGATATCCTCCGAGGTGCGGGCGAAGCTGGTCAGGCCGAAGAATCTCGTGGAACGCGCCAGGATGAACGTCGCCTGGCTCGACTCGTCTCTGTCCATCATGGAGCAAGGCATCCGCGAATTCGACACCCTCAGGCTGAAGTTCAAGTTCTACTCCTTCTACGACCTGAACCCGAAAACTGACGCGGTCAGAATCAACATGATTTACGAACAGGCCAAGTGGCAGCTGCTGGCGGAGGAGATGGACTGCACCGAGGAGGAGATGCTCATGTTCGCAGCTCTACAGGTAAATCCATTCGGGATGAAATGAAAACATCCCCGGGTGAAAGTTTGATTGGTATAGCGATCGGCGTGGTCAGCTTGAAACGATGAAGAAGGTTGGTAGTTATATGTTCATCGGTAGAGGTCCGAGTCGAGGTCTGTTGCAACAAGAAACCTCAACCTTCCACCTAGGAATGTTTTCTCGCGAGTTTCTCTCGCTCGTTTTTCCTCCATTGTTTACGCAGTAACAGACCCGCGGTCCAAACATCCGGTGCTCGTGGAATCGATTCATCTAGAGTCTGTTTCGAACGGAAATAATTCTCGCGGGAACGCTGCACGCTAATTCTATACAGAAATTTGTTGACGATGAGCGTAAAGTGTCAGACTCTTAACTTTGACATAAAACAGTCATTCAGAGTATAGTAAACTTTGCACTGAAACCAATGCATGCAAGAGTAAAGTTGCAACAGCAATCGAGGGATAAATAAGCCGGGACACCCACGGCAAGCTCGGGGCTTGGGATTAGCCCTGATTAGAAGCGATGAAGAAATGGGAACTCTGGTACCCGGTACTGGGACATTGGTCGAATGAAATTCATCGGATTAGAAACCCCCACGCAGCGTCGATTCGCATGCAAATCTCGTTTCCTTAAGTCGCCCGAGAGAGAACGTTCACGGCTCGCGTCGTTTTTCCGATACGCCTACCCGGTTTCTCGGTCAGCGGGCATAACGATAAAAGGAGCGTGAGTCGCGGGCGAATGACGTCGACGGTAATTGGTATTCCGTGTCCGCAGGTGCAAGTGAATCTGCAAGCCAGCGTGCCGCAGCCGAGTTACGACAGCAACGGCGCCTCGTCGCCCGTCGAGGACGACATTGACGCGGCCTTGACGGACCTCCAGGTCACCCTGGAGGGCAGCAACATCAGCAACGGGCCCAGCGACATCACCCAGGTCCCCGAGCTCTGCGACTACCTGCGCTTCCTCAAGCCCAAGCGTTTCACCCTGAAGGCGTTCAAACGCTACTGGGTCACCTGCAGGGACCTTCAGCTGAGGCTGTACAAGACCAGGGAGGAGACGAGCAGCGAGTCGCCTGCCAACGTGATCAGCCTGCGTGGATGCGAGGTCACGCCCGACGTTCATCTCTCGCAAGGACGCTTCGGCATCAGGCTCGAGGTGCCCAGTGCCGAGGGCATGACCGAGATGTGGATCAGATGCGACAATGTGAGTACATCTCCGCCTACTTACCCCGTGACAGATGTATTGGGTCTTGGAACAGGACAGTGGGAACCTTTGGGTGGGATTAGTGGTTATTAAACTTCTAGAAGACACCCACTCCGTTCCTCTCGTCAGTGGATTCTATAAGTACCGTAGTAGAACGATGCCAATTGGTAGCTTAAGGCCATCGAGAATTGTCCCCCTGTCAGTAACGAATCTATAGATATTCATTCGGAATTTGTCAAGGAGTAAAGAAATTATTTAGCAACCCCTATCGCACGCCTTCCCTTGTTTGGGCAGAAGTCAAGATCCCAGAGGCAACTCTGCGTCCTTTTTGAACGCGTTAAGGATGCGGGCAAGTCAATGGGGATTGTATTTCAATCCCACTCGAGTCTTGAACACCTTCCTTCCACTAACAAGGGTGCTTCGCGCATTGTCAGACACCAATTCTTCACGAATGTTCGTCGATCGACCTGTTGGAATCCCTCACGCGTTGTTTATTCCAGGAACAACAATACGCGAAATGGATGGCAGCGTGCAGACTAGCCGCGAAGGGCCGCACCCTTGCGGACGCCTCCTACGAGAGCGAAGTGGACAGCATCGCAGCCTTCCTGCAACTGCAGAGGCCTGCACCCGCGCCTGCGATCAATCCAAACTCCCTCGACATCGTTCCAGAGGATTACGTTGCCCCACGATTCGCTAAGAAGCTCAAGGGAAAGGTATTCATTACTCTATATTAGAACATTTTTTTAGAAAGCCTGAATAATACAAAATTCTCGCGAAGAATTAGTTTACAAAATAGCTCCGTATCCTCATTAATACCTCTAAACCCCTTCGATTACTTTACAGTTGGTTCAGAGGATCCTGGAGGCCCACGCCAACGTCAAGGACCTGCCCTTGATCGAAGCTAAATTGAACTACATAAAAGCTTGGCAATCCCTTCCCGAGTACGGTATTTCCCTCTTCGTGGTCAGATTCACCGGGAAAAGCAAGGACGAGTTGCTGGGCATCGCTAACAACAGACTGATGCGAATGGAACTTCACAGTGGCGATCACTTGAAGACGTGGAGATACAACACCATGAAGGTAAACCACTCGCTAAAACCGAACTAAAAGAAACTAAATATATTCGAAGTTGAACATTTCCTAACCGATGTTTCGTTTGTGTAGGCATGGAACGTGAACTGGGAGGTGAAGCACATGATGGTGCAGTTTGAAGAGGGAAACATTATCTTCGAGTGCCAGTCCGCTGATTGTAAAGTGGTCCACGAATTCATCGGCGGTTACATATTCCTGTCGATGCGATCGAAGGAAGCGAATCAGACGTTGAACGAGGAGATGTTCCACAAGTTGACCGGGGGGTGGGTTTAAGAAATCGCCGAACGTGGACGAATAAATCTCTTTCTAACGGGTCGAAACACTCGACGGAGCGTTTACTTTGTTGTCACTTTGGGTCAGAGGAAACTCTGATCTGGTAATCGACGCGACACGCTTGTTGGTTGACATTTGTAAAAATACTTAAATCTACACTTAGAGACGCTTTATTATAGTATTTGTAAATAGAAGATCGCGTCGTCTTGAACCGCCGCGCTCGTAGGGGGCGCCATGTTTTATTTCACGCGTAGGAGGTCTGTAATTTTAATATACGGTTGATGGCTACTTTTGCACATGACAGGAGAGTAGTATGCAGTTCTCGACCGTCGAAATCCTGCAAACGGAATACGAGGGTATAATGTATTAGGTAATCGAGTGAAACACGCACAACGATCGACCCGCGAACGAGCAAACCGCGCCCTTTTGTACACGCGACGCCGTTGATTAAGGTCATGAACGAATTAACGTTTCTGCAGCGGCCAGCGCGTTCCCCACCCTCTGGCCTCGACCTCGCTGGACGTCGTTCTGGATGATCTTTTTCGGTTTGCCAGGTCGATCTCTCTCGGGCGAATAACATGTATTTTTTCACAGCATGGGGTGCTATGCCGGGAGAGATCGACCTCGAGACGCGGCGACCCCATCGAATCGTGTAAATTATTTGTTGTTTTAATGTAAACTATATATATATTAAAATATATTTACTTGTACCGTTGCATGTTATCTATCTATGTATAACGTCGCGTTGCCGAGCGTGTAATCAGAAAAATTATAGTTTTGTATATTGATAGACGGTAGTTGTACAATAAACTTAATTATTACTACCCGGTGGTCTGGTCGGTTCGCGTAGTAGGCATCGTTGAAATCGTGAAAAATCTTTATTAAAGTATGCGATATAAAAAACCATGTATATAGAGCGACAATAATCGGTAATGTAAACGAATAGAAAATGAATTATAAACGTTTGCGTCTCGAACGGTGCGCAGACATCTGGGCACCTCGACGACGCCGCGACACGCGAACGATGCTGGTTCATCCCTGTCGGGTGGGCTTCCTTTCACTCGACGGCGCACAGCTTGGAGTTTTTACCCGAATTATCCACGGACTTTGCGCCACTACCTTGATTTTGACTCTCAGAATTCTTGAACGACGGCAGTCCTCTCATAACCATGGGCACGTTGCAACCACCGGTCGCCGCCCCCGCTCCAACCATGTTCCCACTGCCTCCACACACCTGAATCAAAGTAAAATTTATTTTTAATCGTTACTATTATTAATATCATAATTATTCTTGCAATCTTTGTAATCGTTATCTTGGTTTCCTCTCTTGGTTCGTGAATGACATCACCCCAGGCGACCTCGGAGGAGACTCTTACGAAGTTATGTGTCCAGATAAGTCCTCTTCATCGACTAACATTTGCTATCCGTTGATGCCACCACCGTTTCAACAAACCGCAAGCTTGAGAACCAGTGGCGCCACAAACGTCATTGCGATACAAATCATACTTCACCATGGCGCTACTACTTCAGTAACACTCTCTAAACATCCAATCCATCCCTTATACGCCCCCCACCAATGGAGAAGCACTCAAAAGACACAAAAAGAGAATCACCTGCGGATGAATAGGTGGCGCTGAATGCACGAGTCTGCCAGCAAGAGTTCCGGGCTTGTCCTTCTTGGTGCGTACCCACTCGTGGCTGAGGACCCTTTCTAGAGTCAGTCTCAGCGTAATATCCGGTTCTAGGATATGCTTGACGATGCTCTTCGCCAACGCAGACACCGTGCCTCGTACTCGCGACCTGAACATCCAGTTCCTCGACATCTGGTCCTTCAGTAGCTTCTTCAAGTTCTTATCGTCGAAAGGCATCGATGCGTTCAGCATGATGAAGAGTATGATCCCCAGGGACCAAACGTCCGCTAGTTTCGGGTTGTATGGGGTCCCTGACACAACTTCCGGTGCAGCGTACGCCGCTGAGCCACAGTAAGTCTCGCTGAGGACGCGTCTGCCATCGTGGTCGACGCAGAACCTCGCGAAACCGAAGTCAGCCAGTTTCACGTTGAATTTTCTAGAGAGCAGGATGTTCTCGCACTTGAGGTCGCGATGGGCAATGTTCTTCCCGTGTAGGTAGTGGAGGCCGGAAGCCATCTGCCTGAACCAAAGCTTGGACTGTTGCTCTGGCACGACGCCATTCCTCTGCACAAAGTCCAACAGGTCGCCGTTGTCGGCGTAGCGCATGAAGATGAAGACTCTCGGGCCTCGTTGCAGTATACTGTGCACCTGCAAGTTTCTTATTAGGACGGGGTTCTATTTGATTACATAATTGGAATTCACTAAGCAATAGTAGATGATTTGGTTGTAGGTTTTCAGAGCGTTATTATAACATTAGCGGTCTCAGGAATTGATCTCCGGGGGGAGGGAAGATTCAGGGGCGACGTTACAGAATCCATAGCTTGTTGGTGGAGGTAACACTACTCTACTATTTTAAACGTATACAGAGCTACACAGAACGCTTAGTTTTCCAAAGTCTTCCAGGGATTCCCCTTTCAAAGTCAACTCTTGAAAGCAGCGTAATATCAAAAGATGCTTTGAGTAGAGATAACTATCGAGTGATTCTCTTGGATTCTCTGCTTGGATTCTACTCGCTTCGAATAGACTAATCGAAGCAGAGAACCCAAGAGAATCGCTCAACAGCCTTCTCTGTTGAATACACCCTATCTTACTTGAATGATATGGGGATTTTCGATTTTCGTAAGGATCTCGAGTTCGCGGGGGAAGAACTTGTTGAGGAAATCGCTGGGCGCTTGCTCCTTGTCGAATATCTTACAGGCTAGCCGCAGTTTCTTCGAGCTCGTCCCGTCGACGTACTCGGCCAGGTGCACGGTAGCGTACGAACCCTAATATTCACCAAGTTCCAAGCGACATTAGTCAGATCGATCCACGAAAAGAACGAAGAGCAAAAGCGATCCGAAAAAAAACGAAGGTGCCGCGCCTTCGTGTAAATAAATAACGCTCTCGAAGGAAAGTAGAATCGTTGTACGAAATTGCAGAGCGCGATAATAATGGTCCAACATGAAGAAAGCCGACTCGAAGAGAACCAAAAACTCGCGGCGCAAAAAGAAACGTGCAGTCATTTAACGAAACAAGAACACCGGGTCGCATCAAAGGAAGCGCAAAGTTAAAAAAAGAAACATAGGAAACGATGTTGCAGATTGGATGAAGAAGGCAGAGAAGAGGTTAACGAACAGGTGGGACGTAGAGGGTTGGGGGTAAATAACCTGTCCGATCTTTTTGCCAATCAGATAGCCCCGCTGCTCAAGAGCGTTCACCTCCGAATTTCGGGGGCTGAGTCGCGTGGCCATGCCAGTGGATCTTCATTGGACTTTCGATCCTGATAACGCGCAACTGGTTCTTCTTCTTCGCGCGTTTCTCCTTCTCTCCTTTCCGACTGGATGCGTAGTCTTTCTGTTTCTTATCCTCGCAGAGCTCGTCTTTGCTATCCTCCTCGCAGACGTCTGCACGCACTCCCCTAAATTCGATTGAATTTTGTTGTGACGGATGCGCGGTTCATGCTCCGTCCAGGAGCCGTGGAACAACTCGAGGGGTATTTTACGTCGATGTACCCGTGTCAGGGGTCCGTTCTGTCATTTCAGATGGCTGCGTGCACTAGAATTTTGAGCGTCGAGACTAGCTTGTACGTGGTACGGAACGGGGCAGAGGAAAAGATCCGTGTCTCATTCGAACTCAGCCATTATACTTAAAAACAATGAACAGTTGATCCGCGAGCGCGTTCACGTTTTGAATCGCTTTGATTTTCAAGCATGTTCGCGTCGTACATCTGATAACAGAGATGGTCGAGTGATAGAAGGGCAATGGTTGAAACGCTTCGTGAAGTTATACGAGCTTGTAATAGAATATAATGGCAATTTTTATTCAAAATAGCTAGTGGAATAGTTGTATCTATTTCATAGTTAGCGGTAACAGACCTAGTTTCTACGTTTACGTATAGATGTCGCTACTTGTCTAGTGCACGAGGCGCCATCTGCGGTAAAATTGCCAAGCTTATTGTCGAACAACATACCCCGATGGTAATTACGTTTTTACAGGTTCGAAACTAAATTTCAAGTGACTCCATCTACGGTAAAACGACCAAGCTCTATTTCATAGCGGTAACAGACCTAGTTTCTACGTTGACGTATAGATGTCGCTACTTGTTTAGTACAGGAGGCGCCATCTACGGTAAAACGGCCAAGCTTGTTATAGAATGCATACCTCGATGGTATTTAGATTTTTGTAGGACTAATGTCAGTACACGAAACTACAAAATCCTTTGTTCAATTGGTAATTTACCATAAAGCTAGAATAACTCCATCCAGCGGTTCAAGGGTAAAGCTAGTAGTAAAGCAACCAGGGTTCGAATTTATATAGATTTTTTATTAAACGTATTTATACATTTCGTAGAAACGAGATTACGAAGCTGGATCATCGCCTTTCGTGGTACGCGTGTAAATCAATTGCGCATGGTGTTGCACAACTTGTTTAATGAGTCCTTTTTGTTGGAGTTCGATCAGCGCCCTCCTGGCAAGGGATCCGCGGATCTTTAACCTTTCGCTAACGATAGATGGTGTGATCAATTTGTACTGGGGTACTTCTTTCAGCAGCTTCTCATATGTGCCTTTGTCGAACAGCACTTGGTTGTTTAACTTGTCGCGTACTTTTCCTTTGGACCACTTCTGCAATAGGAAACAGATAAATTATTAGAGAATTGTTCACTCAAGATCAATAGAATATTTAGTAATATATTGGATCAGACTCATTAAATCAGTATTTAGCTTCCATGGTTTGTCAAGATTTTAAGTGTTCATCATTCGAATGGTCAGATTAGAGTAGAGTTGTAGGATAGAGGATTGCAATACGAACCTTCTTCTTGGCTTTGCCACCAGATCCTCCCTCTTTCTTTTTCTGTGTCTTCTGTGGTTGCTTAGAAGACCCCTTGGTATCCTTTTTAGGCGGCTGAAATGGGAAATAAAATTAACCAAGGTCCAGAGAGTTCGTATATGACACTTTCTAATAAAATACAAATCAGTCTCATTAAATCAGTATTTTGCTATCATGTAGTTGATCCAGCATAAGTTTCTCATCATAATACGTTCGCTTAAAACAAATATTAACCGACCTACAATGTACTTTGCAACATTAACATCTATCTCAAGGAAAATCCCATTGTGTCAACAAAACATGCATGAGAGAAGAGGTTAGACGTTCATATATCAACAGAACTGTAAATTGTCTTCATTTTGTACAATACGTAGCAATCAATACCTTTCTAATAATTTAGCAAAAAGTATTCGCAACGTAACGCAAATTATACAAAATAAAATAATTCAAACGTGTTGTATAAACCATGTGGATGAATCACAAACGAAGGTTATGCACTTTGTTGCACGTAGAATTTACCCAAAATTCGATAAATTTAAAAAAAAAATATCACGATACACAAACGGGAACTTTTGTTACACTCACAAAATTACTTGATGCAAATACAATTAAAAATAGAAGGGGAAATCATTGGCCGAATACTCACCATGATGGCTGTCGACTCAGAAAGAAAAGGGAAGTGCGTCAGTCGCCATGTCTAATGCTTATTTCACGCAGCGCCATCTGTTTTACTACGTCGGTCAGTATTGTTACTAAAAATGGCTGAAAATCGAAGGAAATAGAATAGTAATTGTTAAGTGAATCGGTGACTAAATTAAAATTAATTCTTCAATTATACGATTATACGAAGGAATAACAGAAACGATGTACACGTGTCACGTATAACATCTTGTCGAGCTGTCAGTCGCTCAGGAGTGGCTACAGCGTGTTAAGCATGGCGCCGCACCGAGCGTTTTCACGTCCCGGTTTTTCCAATCTTTGACGTACTCGTACGATGTATTTGGTTTAAGAATACCCTCTGCTACCGTCGAATTGATCACGAGTCTTCGTTTTTGTATCCAGTTTCGTGCTGAAAAGGTAATTTCTTCATGATACAAATATTCGTGTAAGGTTAAGATGCCTTTCACCGTTGCTACGTGTCATTCGTGTTTTTATTCGGCGCAAGTTGTGAACAATTAGCGTGGAATTCGAATAAATTAAATGGTGATAATCCCAAAGTTGGTTCCAAACGATGTGTTTCATTCAAAAACGCGGTTTATCGTGTTATTAGCGAGTGTCACGGCTGATAAGCGAAGGTATCCCTAATCAGCTGTGCGATCATTGGTTTACCTTCGACAGATTTTTGAGTATAGTCGACGATTACGTTCTTCGAACTGTAGAATTCTTGTTTAGGCGCCTAGATCCCGATGTAGATAGTGTCGCTTGAGAAGTTCATTCAGAAAAATGACATTTTAAACGTGCTTATGTAAAACCCAGATTTACTGACAAATCGGTGTTTTTTTTTCAGGATAACGCCTCTGGTAGAAGCAACTCTGGCACTGTTGCAAAATGCTTCCACTCTCGCACAAAGACTCACGAAATCTCAGTAGCCGGATAAAGGAGCAGTTATTGGGATGGAAACGTTTGATATTTTCTGACAAGAATACTAGAAATTTGTTTTTGTTTCTTCTTCTTAATTTGTCCTTTGCCTTCATTGAATTACTATATGGAGTATGGACAAACAGTTTGGGCTTAATATCCGATAGCTTTCACATGTTCTTTGATTGTACTGGTTTATTGTTTGGCTTGGCAGCATCAGTTATAACCAAATGGAGAGCAAACGAACGATACTCCTATGGCTATGTCAGAGCAGAAGTTTTGGGGGGATTCGTCAATGCTTTACTTCTATTTTTCATTGCTCTTTTCATCATGTCTGAGGCTGTGGAAAGATCCATTGAACCACCAGAGATAAAACATGAAAGACTTTTGGTTGTGTCTATTATGGGATTGATAGTTAATTTAGTTGGAATATATGTGTTCCATCATGGACATGGACATGGCCATGGAATGGGACATGGCCATTCGCATTCTCACACTCAATCTCATGGGGGTCATGGACATTCCCATTCGAATCATAGTCACAGCCATGATCATCTTGATATCGAAATCGATCCCTCCTTTACTGGTACAAATTCTCAGATTATGAAAGGAGTTTTCCTGCATATCTTGGCAGACACGCTCGGATCTGTAGGTGTAATTGTATCAGCAGTGCTGATGCGTTTGTTTGGTTGGTTCATAGCCGATCCGATCTGTTCCATGCTGATCTCAGTATTGATAGTTTTAAGTGTGCTTTCCTTAATGAAAGACTCATGGGAAATATTGATGCAAAGGCAACCAGCAGCATTGGATCATGTTCTACCACAGTGCTACAATAAAGTGACCCAACTGGCGGGAGTATACAGTGTACAAGAACCGCATTTCTGGACGCTGTGTTCGGATGTATACGTTGGGTGCTTGAAATTAGAAGTGGCTAGAACAGTAGAGCCCAAATACGTTGTAGCGCACACGCAAATGATATTCCAATCGGCTGGAGTAAGGCATCTAACGGTTCAACTGGATTACGCACCTATGTGATCTACGAAAAACGTGCATCTCATTAAGTGTTCTTATAAGTGCTCCAAAACTGTATTTGTTTGTGGAGTCTGTCAGAAACAGGCAAGGAACATTGCGCTAGTGCAGAATATTTCTGCCATTTTAAAATTGTGCAGATGCATTGTTCTGAGCAACAGTGAATATCATCTTGGATTACAGATTGTCTAAGAATGGAAATAATCGGTGCAGTTTACTGCCATATTCCTAAGGACGATATTAGAATTTCATTCCCTCGTTTCTGCAGTTGTACATAAATATTGGCTCCCTCGTGTTTTACAATTACTTCTTTACCAAGTCGCGAATTATCTTTCAAGCCCTCTTTTTAAACCGAAGCTCGGGAGTAATGTTTTGTATTGTACATCGAAGCCATTACATCAAATTGCATTTAAAACTCAGAGAAACTACTGGCGGAAACTACTTAGATTTTTTTACCTGTACAACATTGAAAGCCACAACTACGAGGGCATTTTCATAATTTCCTTCGTACCGCCTAATTTCCCGTGTATTGCGATTTCTAACGTAAAGTCCAAACATTATGGTCGAGCGTGTGCAAAACTCTGAATAATGAATCATTGCGTTTGCTCACGATAGAAACGGTTAAATCGATCTACAAGCAGCTGTAGACATCGCTAGTCATCGCTATACAAAACATGTGAAATGTACATTATATATATATATAAAAGTGCAACTTTATAAAATGTAATATAAATCGATATTCTTACGTTTATACGATGTTATGCTTTTCTCAAGATTGTATTTACTTCGTAACTAATTTTGTTGGTGTAAAGTTCAATTGAGAAAGTGATGAACACTCACCTGGTATAGATTGAACGTTTATCACAATGCGACTGTATTTCCAAAACACGTTCTACTAGAATCGAATAGGCAAATTGCGAGTACAATATAAAAATAAATGTACTCTAGGAAAACTTCTATAGAAGCTGATGGATATAACATTGATACGATTGCCATTGGTCGAAACGGAATCGCGAGACTCGGAGTTAGCATAATTTTTTATTAAATATTTTATAAATCCGTGACGGGGTATTCAGTCATTTGTTCATCACTTTCACAAGCATTGTCTTCGAGTGGCGACTACCGAATTAGACTATCGAGAGATTCATAAGCGTATGTCGTAAGCTTGACCAGGACATTCCATGTAGCCAAGGTGTAGGATTTGTATACTTGAAGTCGTGACGACTTAGGCCAAAATTTAATTGATAGGATAAAGCGAAACTTCGATAAAAAAATACTAACAGACAGAATTATCGAAATACTATATCATCGCGCGAGTGTGTGAGTAAAATGCCAGAATAACATGCGGTCGAATAAGACTTTTGAATTAGAAAAAGTCGGTGCAATTCCCGAGATGAAAGTCAAGATTATTATTAGCGTTATTGTATAGATGGACAATGAAAGAGAATGTCCCCGCAGTATCGACAGATTGTAAATAATAAACGGAAGTACTTGTACTGATAGCAACCTGTGGTCCCACTCTATATTGATCAATTAGGAATGGACCTTATTTCTTTTGTAACAAATTTTGTTTATTCGTTTGCTTTAACTAAAGGGTAGGGGAGATTCATATAACATGTAGATTTTCAAACACATATTACATTTATTTGAAGGATATGTATACACATATAAATACATAAATATTTATAATAAAATCGCTGAAGCTGATGCCACACTCAGACGTGTGTAGTGTCAGCTTCATTCTCGCCGTGTTTAAGTTCTCCTCGCTAAAACGGGCTCACAAATGTAACAGATCGGACTTTAAACATCTCGTTCGTCTCGTACGGTGTCGATCGATGCGTTTCTTATATACACATAGCAAACTATCAAAAATGAAAAACCGTGCGGAACGCTCGCCCCTGTGTATCTAATAAGAGAACCGCAAGAGGCGTCACGCGTTTACTATAATAAAACTTTGTAGACAGTTACACGTTCGAGCGGGTTAATACTCTTACGTTAAAGTATATAATACTTATTATGAAAGTGGTTTAAGAACGATTCAAGAGCTACAAAATGAGTTATATAAGGTAGAACTTGGATATTCTTATTTAGTTTAAAACGAATCTTTAATATAGTAGATTTAAGGCAACCCGCCAGTTGATGTGTAGCACAATATCAGGGCTGCAAAGATTCCCCTGATAGGTGGCAACCGTCCGTTAAAACTAGAGCATCGAATACCAGCTTTCAGGCGTAGGTAATGCGCCTGCGAGCAGGCAACCAGTACTGGAGCACCGACTGGTACGTTAGCACCGAAGCAACGGTTGCCAGCTCGCAGGCGTAGGCGCTGCGCCTGCAAGCAAGCAACCAGAACTAAATACCGACAGTCGCGGTAGGACTGGAGTATCGGTTGCCTGCTTGCAGGCGCAAGACATGTCCCTGAAATCAGATAACCAGACCTGGACATCAACTGGTACGTTAGGTCTGGAGCAGCGGTTGCCTCTTTGTAGGCGCATGCGATGCCCTGTTAAACTGGCAACTAACAATGAGATTACACTTCGACTGGCTGGTCGCATTCAATCTACTGTTAATAACTCTAATTTAAGGCTTTACAATACAATAATAGGTTAAATAGCTACAGAGTGTCTATCTATTATTCGAATAAGTTTTGTTTATCCCCGATATCAAGTGAACAATCGATTTAGTGGTGACTCACACGTATTTTTGCTCTATGTCTACCAATAAAGTTTCGTTTAAACAAACCCGTGACGCTTCACGCGGTAAAATGGGAGTCGAAAAATTCATTTCGACGTAACTGTATCGAATAAGGGGGGGAGCGAACATCTTGTATGGAACTGTATCGCATGGAACTGGTTTACGTGGAACTGAACTGAACTCGTATGTTAGGTGCATGGCAGTATATCGCGTTCCTCTTGGCTACTAATAACAGTTGGCAAGGGATCGTGTAAGTATCGCACCTAGCGCTCGCTTCGGCGATCGATGATCGATGGAAATCGTTGTGGAACCGCACGCCTTATCCTAGAAGGTAACGAACTTGTGATTAATACCGATATAGACGATAGATCGCGGTCGAGTCTAAGATTTTTACGATGTTGGCAGTTTTGTGTGTGTGTGTGTGTGTGTGTGTGTGTGTGTGTCGCACGTTTCGCTTGCTTCAAGGTATTCCTCTTTCATTATATTTGTTTTTTTTTTTTATTTATACAATACAATAGCAATCGTTTTCTATATCGTGCACCACAGTGTTCGAAAATCCGACGACTCTCTTGGATACGATTTTTTCCTACCCGCTACCATGTAGAATATAATATCTATAAAATTTCTCCAAGTCTCCAACAACGCGCCTCATCCGGTAAAGCCATTTTTCACTCTTGGATCGTCGATCGATCAACACAATCGATCGTTAACATTTGATAATCGTGATCAGGATATATACTAATATAATCGTAGCAATAATAATAATGATGATGATCGTAGTAATGACGATAATAATAATAATATATTACTCTGAATCGTATTTTACAGTCCATCTAACAACAACGAACGTATCTAGTTTGCAACAGCCTCTTTCATTTTAGTATTCTTTAAATATCTTCTCGGTAATGCGTGTGTGTCTGTCTGTCTGTCTGTCTGTCTGTCTGCCTGTTTCTCTGTGCGTGTGTATGTACGTGTGCGCGCGCGCGCGCGTGTGTTGGTCGTTTGCAAAGATGATTCTTCCATCCGTTTGCTCGATAGGACGCTGACCCTTTCGAAACAAATATCCATTTCTAGCGATTTACGAATTCTTCAGGCTCGAGCTAATAACGCTAACAATCTACGTGATCTATCGTTTAGGAGAGCGACCACGCGTGGAAAAGGAAATCACAGTAAGACGAAAATCCACAATGTGCTTGGCTTCGATCGATCCTCTTTGCTCTCGGCGCCCTTCCGTAATCTTCTTATACTACGTGCCTCTTATGGCTAAAATACGCGCGTTCGACTCGTTTCATTCTATATCTACGCGTTTACGTCCTCGCTCTTTCAAGATCCGTTTCACCGGATCGTAAACAATATATTTCGATCAAAACTGGACCTTATCCCTTCAAACGTTTCCTTTACTTTCCTAATCCAGGATCGATTCCCTCAACCTCCTCGTCGTTCTTCGGCCACGGTTCGCCGTGGCCGGAGAATCAAGAAACTTTCGTGTCGCTGGCAAGCAAGAGCTCCTCGTCGAGGCCTCACTTCTTCTTAGCCTTGCCGTTCTTTTGGATCTTCGTGATCTTTAGTCGACAGTTGGATCCTCCGGTGTAAACAACCTCTGCCCGTCCACCATCTTCGATAGCGGTGACGAGAGCCTTCACCGACTTCACGTGGACGTCTTTGGCGCTGATCTCGAGCGAGGTGCCAGGGTAGCGATCCCTGACGCACTTGCCGATGCTGGACGCCTGCGTCTCCGTCAGCTCCAGTCCATCCAGACAAAGCCATGTAAGGTACTGCAGATGGGTGAGGATCGTCTGCACGAACACGTGCTCCATCTGCACCTTCTTCGCGCTGTCGGTCACAATCAGCCCGTTCGCCTTCAGGAAGCTCAGGTTGCACAGCTTCAGGTACTTGGCGATCTGCCTCATCGTCTTCTCGCTGTCCTCCAACGTCACTCGCCAGAAGTTGATCCTCAGGCACTGCAGGTTCCTGAAATGGGAGGACAGGCAGGCGAAGAACTGCTGGAGGATCTTGTCGTCGATGAACAGCAGGGACCCACTGTTCCCGCCGATGGTAGACTTGTCCAAGGAGAGGTCTAGCTCGCTCAGAGCAGTGAAACCAGCGAGGAAGGGTAGAAGAAGTGGTCCACGGAGCGCCAAGCGATCGTTCACTGTCACCTGCAATCAGAAATAATGCTAGCTTTCCCCGTCGACGATCTCCACGCATTTTTTTCTCGTGCGAAGGAGGGTTGAAGATTAACGAAGACGAATGAGGATTTTCGGGGTTAGAGGGATGAATCGTAATCATCGCGAAGGGGACATAACTGTACTCGAGGTGGAATTAATCGAATCTCTCAATAACGCGAGCAACGAGCTGGTTAGAAACCAGTTCCTCAAGACGAATGATCTATCGCGGTCGGGTCGACCGCAACGTCCAGACCGACGAATCGTCGACGGCCTCGAATTACGAATCGTCCGGTTCGAATGGGCTCGAGTGTCTCGAATGGACAGTGTGGAACCCGATACATCGACTCGCGTTGTTGCCGACAATCGTGCTTACGTCTTGACACACGCGTCTCTTAGGTTCGTGGCCGAGGTGTAGGATAGACTTATGTTAGAGATTCGAAAGGAAAAGTAGAGGAGAATGAATAGGAAGTGAAAGTAAGAGTGAAGTGTCTACGTTCACTCCTAATTTCAGGATGATTAAGAGAAGGATCTCAATCTTGTAAGATAGTCCTAGGTGTCTAGAGTACTATTTCCCACGAAAAGGAGAGCTCTGCTTTCATCGAATCGCTCTATTCGTTAAGGTCCTCGATCTAATTCGCAATTACGAGGCTTCAGACGAAGTCAGGTTCTCTTTCATCGTCTGGACGTACAACTGAAAAGAGGATTACTTACTTGAAAACCTGCGAGTCTGAGGAACACAATCGCGGGGCAGGCAGGGGGCGGCGCTGCCCTGAGGAGCTCAGCTCCTGCGTCATCTCTGCGTCCCAATCTCGCCAAAGGACCCTCGTGGACGGCCAGATGCAAGCGCGCGTTGCACAGGCTCAGCTCTCGGACGCTCGTATATCTCAGGAGCTCGGAGAACACCGCCAAGCTGTCGGACTCCTGCGAACATTGACACGTTTTTCATCCTCCAGCTTTTCGTATTTCCTGTGGCTTGAAATATATTCGAATGCATTCGACATACAGAGTGAGTCAATATTTTATCTTTCTTTGGCTCCTTCAATTTCATGTTTATTTTGATGGTGAGGATTCGAGAGTTGGTTAGATAAATTGTCAGGGATTTGATGTTATCGTAATACATTATATACTAATACTTGATGCATTATAATATAAATATTAGTGAGAAGAAAATTTCTAAATTAATTAAAGGTGACGATAAAGGGTATCTTGTTGTAGCAGAGTATTATTTATTTACGAAACGAATACTTCACTTAAATGAAATACCCTCAGGGGCTGTAGCTATGTTTGATTGAACAATGTAGCTACAGTACGGGTTTAGAAACCCCGAGGTACCCGAGCTATAGAGGAGCCATTGAGTCTGAAACAGATTACTGGCACCTATAATGAATCATAAAGAGAGGCACCTAAGCAAATGCAAATGTAAAGTAATGTAAAACAAGAATTAAATGAATATAAATAATGAACGGATGCAAGACTGACACATTAGGCGTACAGTCTAGTAATATAAAATATCTTCGCCCCCTCATAAATGAAACTAAATGAAATAAATTTATTATACTTCCAATCGAGGTTTCCCTCCCATTTTAGTTTGTCGAATCACGGCCCATATTTCTCGAGGGATCCTGAATTTCGCGTTCCTTTTGTCATCGACGTGAGACGGTGTTAAACGTCGGAATTCGGTCGCACGAACGATGGCGTCGCGACGCCGAAATCGTCGGCGGTGTCGTGTTACTCCGCAATAAGAGGAGAACAAAGCGAGGCGTGCGAGCACAACGGCTTCCGAGATTACTGGATCGCGTGCGTCGCGAGGAAAGACGAAGCTCTGACGTTAATACGGAGCTAACAAGCTGCGACTAATCCCTAAATCGGTTTTACCGTCGCTTTGATCGCTGCGTCGAGTTTGAACCGATTTGGCGAAGTTTGCGAAGACACGATTCTCCGCTGGGAGTCAAACGGGTAACGAATGTCGAGAAACGGAGAACTTTGGTACCCGACTAGAAATAGTTAGATCATACAACCTTTGTGGAAATGTACAGGGATTACTGGAAGCCTTAGAGTTTTGTTATATAATATATCGTCTGTTTAATAATAAATAAGTTTGATGTCCCGCGGATAGGTTATATAAAACAAGTAACGCTAATAACTTTAGAATAAATCTTTATTGAATATTTATAAATTTTATACTTTCGAGTACAAAATTACTTGAGTAAATTACAATAGTAATCTGTATAAATCTTGTAATCGCTACAATGTTGCTCGGCTCTTCTCTCATTGCATCTTCTCATTGTGTAAGTTTTCTTAGCGGTTGCTGTTCCTCCTTTTTATCAGTTCCTTTACCTCCAACTTTTCCAATGTAAGACGTATCCAATTTTTTCTTGAAAAAATCGACCACCTGTAGCTTCAACTTCCTATTGGACGGGACGTCTCAGGTTTCCTTGACGACGATTGATATCGATGCACGCGTCTCCTCGAAATAGCGCGACCTAATTAGATGACACAGTTTGCAGAGTGGGGGTGTCATTAAGTGGCGCGACGCGTGACAGTTTCAAATTGATCTCGAAGCCGGGTTTGCGTTCGATCGTGACTTTGTTCCACTTTGTTGCGCGACGTCGGGGACGTAGCAATATTCCAAAATAGAGTTACACCTCTCCCCTCAGACCCATGGGAAATTGTGCTTGAGGGAAAAGGAGAGGCTCGATGGGGGTACCGCGGATCTTCGAGGGAAAATTACGCTTGGGATCGAGCTAAGTCAAAGGGATCCAACGGATTTTCGCGTGAATTTGCCAACCGCTGGTGAGGATGGCAGGTATTAGGTTGGTAGGCACGGAATTCTCATTTATTTTGCAGATCGCATTTCGCGATACGGTAATTCGAGTCGAGCGTAGTTGTCAATCGCTACGAACGCCTTACTCAGGAGGATTCTGGTAGCTCTTACTCGAAATTGAATCTGGTTCGATTAAACGCCGTATAAATATTACAGTATCACTTTCAGCTTACGTTCAGCTTCTGCCTATAAAATATAAAGTAATTGATCTATATTTACAAGATTAGAACTTTGCAAGGATCAATTCTTTGCAACATTGTATAACACGAACAGCCGAGGTATGTTCTAATCATTCTGGGCTCTTTGCGGACAGATAATTGTTTCTATTGTCTCTAGAATATAATCTGTCATTATTTAAATATTTTGCAAATGGTAAAATAACACATTCAACGATGGTGTACGTGTGCCAATTTAAATTGATCACGAATAGTCAGTCGAGTTGTGTGTCCGCGATCGATTCTCCTACCGTTTTAAAATGTTTACTCGCTAATCGGAGCAACAAGTGTTGCTTGGTATTTTAATCGACGACTTCTAATTCTCTGATCGCGACCTCGCGACAAAATTAATCCGCCTCGAAGCTGCAAAAAGGCTGACGTTCCCATTTACCGCGGAACGATTACGTAACAGTCGGTAGCTGGTGGTTCTTTTTTGCGCACCTACCAAACTTTCTTGCGATTTCCCTCTTCGAGGATCGAGTAGCGAAGCTGTAGGTCGCAAGGTTGGGAGAACCAGAGGACTTGGAGAATATAAAAGAGATACTGAGGTACTCCTACGTCATTTCCCTTCAACTTTCCTTCACTTCCTTCGCATTTAATGTGCTATACTTACCTTTTCCCCTTTAATTTTTCTACAATCCCCTATAATTACCATTTAGTTTTCCAACAATTTCTCTACTATTACCCTTCAATTTCCATGTGACTTCCCTTCAATTTTCCAATTCCTATACAAATTTCCTTTCAAATTCCCTACTACTTCTTCATAATTTCCCAACATTTCACCTATAATTTCCCTCCGAATTCCTCATAATCTCCCCACGATTTCCTTTGCACATTTCCCTTTAATTTTCCTCAATTTCCTGGTATATTTCCTCTTAGATTGTCTTCATTTCCTTATACAGTTCCCTTTAATTTCCCTCCATGCCTTGGTATATTTCCCTATAATTTCGCCCCATATCTGTGATATTTCCTGGTTTAACAATGTTACAAATCGCTCCGCTCGAAACTTCAACAATGTTGCAAAAGTCGAGTCGATTTTTCGGATTTTGTCCCATTTTCCGAACATCTGAGTTGCCACTTTGTTGTACTTGTGAGCGTTGCAACATTGTTGAATTTGCGCGGCGCCGAGTTCAACAATGTTGCAGATTCAACAATGTTGCAAATCGCCCCTCTCGAACTCCAACAATGTTGCA